CGCCGTTGTGTCTGGGGACCGGCCCCCCCCCCCCCCCGCACACCATCTGCCCAACATTCATGAATGGGGTGCAGAACCTGGACTGAGGGTCAGGCCAGCCAGATCCTGGGTTCACTTTGACCTCTGGCTTGAGTCCTGAGGCAAGTGGCCTCTGGCCTTTGACCAGTGTACTTGTCTGGAAGAAGGAATGGTGGAGGAAGGGCTGGGCGACTGGCAGCTCAGGGAGGGTAAACAGGTTTTGCCCTGAGAGCCAACTCTGCTTGATTAGGAATGGCTGTCTGGAGAGGTGTGTGGAGGATTCTGAAGTTACGTTTTAGTTTCGTTGGAAAGACTTTCATAACCACTTAGCAACGTTTGCTGTGGACTAAAAAAGAGGGAATGACAAGACATATCCCCGGCCACCGTGATTCCTAAAGGTTTTACTACATTTTTTTCTTTGCAGTTGTGAACACACCTAGAATGACTATGTAATTTATAGGTGTCCCTTACTTCCCTACTAGGTCACAAACTCCAGGAATACCCTGTGTGTATGTTCGAGGTTCTCTAACCTGTAACTGATGTTCTCCTTGTTAAAGAAGATACCTTCTTACGAAGGTGTACCCAGAGTGGATGCCAGGGAAGGGGAAATTGGTTCTTTTGGTTCTCATGGTGAATTTCTGAGTTGGTTATTAGTGTAATTTACACATGAGGAAGTAGACGATAACTGGAATGGCTAAGTACCTTGCCAAGTTCACCCAGTCAGGAAAGGCTCAAGTTCAAAGCCCAGCTTCTCAGCCCCACCCCTGCTCCTACCACCAGGCTCTCAGTGCTGCTTCTCGTGTAGACCAAGTGCTACGTACTAGCACCAACCCAAGATACTGACGGACTGGAGGGCCTCCTGGGCCATTCCCTCTGGGAACCACCCATACAGAAAGAGCAATGGAAATCCTGGCACCAACTCTTTTTTGTTTTAATTGCCAAAGGGCACAAGAGCTCACCAGAGGGAGACAGATGGGGAAAGGGGGGGGGAGGAGAGAGAGAGAGAGAGAGAGAGAAAGCACTCCCCAATGGGATGTGGTTATTATGCAATCCCTTTTCTCCCATTTCTCCATCTGTCAGGATTTGGAACATTTTTTTTTAAGATGCTGGGGTTGGGACTCAATCTGTGGTTGGCCATGTGGGGTCCAGCTCCCTTAACTACTGTTACAGGGCCAGCCCCTGGCACCTCTTCTTACAGAAGAGCTTGATGGAGAACAGAGAACCTGGTCCACCAAGTCTCTCAGCACACGGCATGTGTTGTGTGGACTATCACGACCATCTTCTGTGTGCTCCCCTGTTGCTTTTCCCTCACCCTAGAACTCTTCCTCTTACTTGTTCCCCTTGCCTGGCAAATACCTATTTCTCTGGTAAGTTGTCACCATCTCAAAGTCTTGTCTTACCTCTTACGTCATGTGCTCCCGTCACTCTCATGACACCATGTGCCTCCCTTCCACACAGTTGGTGCCAGCTGCAGTAGCTACCATTCTACCCATCTCTTTTGATAGCGTAAACCCAGCTAAATGGGCTTAGCTAAATACCCCCATTAGAGCTAGGTGAGGCTACGTGAATTCAGCTGTGACCAACGAGCTATGGGGATATGACTTTTCCAGATGGTGCCATTAAGAGTTCCCTCCATCCTGTTGCCAGGAAGGTTGATGGGATAGCCAGAGCACTAGCAGTCA